GTCACCTCTACCCTCTGGGGTCATCAAGGGTTATCTGCTGCCACTGAACTCTTTGACCTCTGAGTCTTCCGTGGATCCTGAATCTCCCGCAGGCCTGTCCTATCCCTGTACCCCCAGCAGGCAGTGTCCAGCCCGGAGTGTCCTTGTCCCTGCCGATCCTGAGGCACTGACCTCCCAGCCCCTCTGCGCATTACTGAATTTGTCTCTGTCTCTGAGAGTTCATCCTTTCAGGCAGTTGGGGATCTCAGCCAGGTCCCTGGTGACAGCCTTATTTGGAAATCAGGGATTTACAGATGTGGCAAAGGTCCTAAGATGACATATCTGGGTTACCAGGGTGCAATGCTGGAGAAAGCACAGGAAGGGGCCGCTCACATGCTGGGTAAGGCCGAGCTACCGGCCCCCAGGGCTGGGCAAGAGGCACAGGAGGGCCTCATCCTCAGGACTGTGGACCGCAGACTGCAGAGACACACTTGTGGCTCTAAGTCGGGGAGGCCGTGGGTCCTTGTTACAGCCGCAGTGGGAAGCCCAGACAGCGTAGTCTCACCGCTGGCCTGCTTTTGGCCCTCACAGTTTCTTACCTGGTTTTCTCGCAGTTATTCGCCTTGTTTTTAGTGATCTTCACGTTTCCGGAAGCAATGGTCAGGTATTTTGTAGAGTCTACTGGGGCTTGCCTGATGTCTTTCTCATACTGAGGCTGACTTACGTGTTCTCGGGAGGAAGTGATAAAGGGCCAGTTTCGCCCGATCTGCTCAAGAGTACTTTGTCACCATGACACAGGACTGTTGATATGAAGATTATTTTCCCCTTTAGATGCACTGTACCCCTTGGAAGAAGGTCACTGCAAGGGACATTCAGGAGTGGGAGCCCAGCACTACCGAAGGAATGGTAGCTTCATTCCCCACACCCACAGGGCCCGCGTCAGGGGTGTGTTGGCATCTGTCATCAAAAGCGGCTTAAGGAACACGTGAGGCGTGGCGCGTTTTGCTCCACAAGGTAGTGTTTCTATTTGTCTTCATGTTCCAAGCCTCGACGGACCTCCTTTCTGCTCAGTGAACTTCTACAACAATGTCTTCGTTTTCCTTCACCCAAGAAATTCTTTATTTCTTGAAGGAAATTTTTGCTGAATGCAGAATTCCTGGCTGATGGCTCTTTTCTTTCCTCTCTTGAAAAATGCTGTACCATTCTTCCAGAGAAGCTCACCGTGATGTGACTCGGTGTCTCCCTGCGAGAAACGCATCTGTTTTCCCTGCGCTCCTTTGAAGGCACTTGCTTTGCTTTTAATTTTCCAGGTGCAGTCATCCCCTTTCGGCCCGGCCTTCTGTAGCTGCCCACGTGGGTTCACCAAGCTCCACGTGCATCTTTTGCTAAACTGAAGAAGTCTCCAGGCATCACGTACTCAAGCCCTTTTCAGTCCCTCTCTGTGTCCTCTCCCCTGGGAGCCTGAGGACAGGAAGTTTAGCTCTCACCCAGCCCTGCAGCCCCGACGCAGTGCTCACATCTTGTCCTGCCACTTTTCTTTCTGTAGCTCGAACAAAGGCGCTTTCCTGGTGCCCTTCTGTCTTCCTGTTGGCTGCACTGTACTGCCAAGCCCATGTTATAAAAACATTTTAGCTGTTGCATTTTTCAGTTCTATAATTTCTATGTGGCTCTCTGCAATAACATCTTTCTTTGTTGAGTTGGTTTTTTTTTTTTTTTTGGTTTTGTTTTAATCTAAGGCCTTTATGCTTTTTAAAAACCCCAGTCCTTTTCCAATTTGAAACAGTTCTGCTAAGTTTCCTAGGCCAGGCTGGGGCTTCAGTTCTCCTGCCTCAGCCTCCCAGAGTGCTGGGACTACAGCTGCGCGCTGCTGTGCCGGGTCACACTTTCTAGTTTCATTTGTTTTGGGAGAATTCATAGTGGAGTGTTGAAGTTCACAGATGGTGGCTGGCGTACAGGCTCGTCACGCAGGGATGGCGTGATTTAGGCGACGTTAGCAGCTGTTGTCTTTTCTCCCGCGTGCTATGATTCGCCTGGTATGGATGACGGGGTGCTGTACTGTGGACATTCTGGATATGGTGTCGCGAGATTCTAGACCTTATCAGTGTCCACTTTTCGCACAGCACAAGGCTGAGTGGACACGCATTCAGCTGCTTGCTGCGCCCCAGCTGGCACCGCCTGGGCACTTGCAGGTGGCACATGAGAGTCACTTCTTACCAGGCTCTGTGAGGGGAAACAGAGCCTAAGCCACACTGCTCGGGTGTGGGGCCCAGGGACACAGAGGGGATGGGACGTAAACAGACTGCTAGCCTCCCCACTTCCTGCCACCTCCTCTCCCAGGGCCTGTGTGGAGACTCCACTCTCTAGCAGTCGGGCTCGTGTCAGTGGGGCCCTGGGAACAGAATCCTGACTGACTGCTTCAGCCAGCCTCAGTTCACTTCAAGGATGGGGCAAGGACGGAAGCCCAGCTTCCCACAGCCCTTAGGGACATGGAAGGAGGGACCACCAGCTCGGACTGACGACACAAGGGAGTATTTAAACTAAAAAAATTACAGTAAAACACTGTCATTCGCCCTCAAAGCCCACCCCCCGAACACACTGAGCTCGTGGTTCTGGCCTGTCTGGGAGTTCTGGAAGTCCTCTTTTGGGAGAAGGTGGCTGCTGAGCCGTCCCACGAAAGGCAGCTTGTACAAACACACAGTGCGTCCTCATGCACCTCAGGCCTGGACGGGTGCTGTGTGACTCCTGCTTCTTCTCAGGATCCAAATGACCATGAAAAGGAAACACTATGAAATGATGTCCTGAACAAGACAGCAAGACAGCTCTGACAGCGGAACTGAAGACCCCCAGGAAAGGGGACGCCCAGAACTGCTGCAGAAAGTGGCAAGAAGGATGGGGTGAGTGTGTGCAGGAGGGGGAGTCGTGTTGAGAGGGGTAAATCACAGCGCATCTCTTACTGCAATACAGTTTGAAAGATTTAAAGTCGCTGTATCTTAGGGTCACCCTCATCACCAGCCTGTACACCTCCCTGCTTGGCCTTTTCCAGTGCGGTGCCTGCTGTGGGCAGACAAGGCTGGGCTCAATGGGGACACCTCCAGGACCAGGACTCAGACCCTCACCCCCTTTTTTGAGTGGCCCCAGTGACACCTTGGTGCTGTGCTGTTTCTGCTCCCCATGCTTGGGCAGAGGTGGCAGTGCTCTGCGGCCAGGCCATCCCTTCCCGGGGCACAGGCTACCCTTAGAGCCTCTTCTCAGGTGCAGCAAGCACAGAAGGCAGGAAGGAAGCTTCTGGAGCCCACGCTGACTCTGCTGCTGGGGCCTCTTTCCAGCCTGCGGGGCTCTCTTCTGCCTGTGCAGGACTGGGCCCAACAGGCAGGAGCTGGCAGGAATGGGGCTTCTCCCTGCTTCTGTGACTGAGACTAAGGTACAGTGAGGACAGTCAGAAAACAAGCCTGTCAAAAAAGGCGGACCTTTAAACTGAGAGAGCCAGCGTCTAAATCAGAGGAAGGACTCCTCAGCAGGTTCTTGGGAAGAAGCTGCTTCAAAGGATTTGAGGAAGTGGTCAGAGGTTCTAATTTGTTTTTACTAGAAGCATTTGCTTTCTACAGAAGGTCTATCTGAGATTCCATTTAGTTTGGTAACACACAAAACTAGGGCTGCACTGGACGCCAAGACCCCTGGAATGGTTTTCTCAGTCTTTGAGTGTCTGCCTCGCTGTACCTCTTTGCAGGGCATTACATGTCCAGCCAGCAGCAAAGAGGAGTACATGTTCAGGTTCAGGACTCCTGTCCCCTCTGGCTAATCTTTTCCTTTTAAATGTAAATATATTTACACATATCCGCATATATTTGCATACACAAAGTACACAAATCTTAACAGAATCCCATGAATTTTCAAACTGAGTACTCCATGCGGCTGATTCCCACATCTAAAGAAAGATCTTAGAACTCACTAGCCTGAAACACCAATCAGCCTTCTATTTCGCATTGTGAATTCCATTCATTTAACTCCTGAAGGTTTTATTGAAGTGATCATGCTAGTGCACATAGATTCTTTGTGCTTTGTGCCGAGGGCTCACCGATGGCACCTTGCTGCAAACCCGCAGCGCAATGTCACAGGCAAGATACCGACACTGCTGTGATCCACCGATCTGGCTCCAATTTCCCAGTTTTACCTGCGCTCACTGACGCACATCTGAAACTCAACAGGAGCTTGTAGAGGTGGTCTGCAGGGGCCGCAGTGCAGTCCCCAGTCATGCATGTCCTGTATCTTGCCTTTTTATGACTAAACCCTGCTCCCCCTCCAATCCTCAACCTCTGGCAAACACTAATTTTTGCCCCATTTATAAAATTTTGCAATTTCAAAAATGTTCCATGAGTACTGTATAAACGGAACCACACAATGTATGTTCTTTGGTAATTGCACTCTTGGCTCAGTAAGGTTACTTCTTTTTAGTATGACGGGAATGCCTCCTAAGGGTGCGAATGGGATGCTTCCGAAGGGTATCCATGAGCTTGGCTACAGATCACCAAGCTCTACCTGCTTTTCAACTGACAACTTTAAATGAGTATTTCGCAACATCTGAAGTCCCAAGGCAAGCCTTTATCCTTCCGTAAGCATTTCTAGACAAAAAATGCTGTGCTCTATGATGCTTATGGTTACTCACGGCATATGCACAAAGAGAATTGCATCATTTTGATCCAAAGGATTATTAACAGTGTATTTTAAAGAACACCGCAGCTGCAGTGCTTGTGGAGGAGTCCAGACCAACGATATTCCTGAAGACCTATCAAGACAGCTACAAAACTAACTTGCAGTATTTTTCATTCCAAAACTCAATGAGTAAACAAAGCTACTAAGATAAAGCCTGGGAAGAATCCCATTTGTAGACACTCCTTTAGAAAAGCAGCTTCTGTTGTCTAACTTTATCTCTACAAGACCTATGCGGCCTTGTGCATGCCTGGGAAGGTCCTCGTCTGATGCCAGGTCACCTCGGGTGGCAACCGTCACTCGTGTGCACTCACCTGTTCTCAAACTGGAACTTAGCGAGGATGTCTTTGGCTCTGGTGTGGCTGTTCAGCTGAATGGCCATGGACACCTTGGAGAAAAGCGGAGCGTGGACCCTTATGACTCCGTCCGGCACGTCAGACTGCAGACGGGGAAAAAATCAGGCCACAGTGTCAAGCTGGTGTGACAGCAGCAGGGGGCCCGCATGAGCAGCGTGAGCCAGTGGCTGTGGGGCTGGGGCAGTGCGCCCGCTCCTCCGTGAATCAGCCACCTTGGAGCACTGCCTTCCTTTTTACCAGGAGGCCACCTGATGGCCAAAGTTAACCTGGGGCTTTTACTGCACACTGAAGCCCTAAAATCGCGAGAGGTATAGAACGGGGCACTGATCAAAACTGAATGCTTCTATCAATTGTCTTTAGAAAACAATACCATGAAGCAGCCCACTTAAATCAAAATTCTTAAATCAATTTTCGGAATTCCTTTTGAAAGCCTTAAGGGTCGGGTAGAGAAATACAGCTGCTTGAACACTGTCGTCCTTTCGTGGGCAGCCAGGTGTGGCCAGCCCCACAGACTCTGCGAGTGCCCAAATTCACCTCCCAGCGCATGAAAGTCTACTGACATGAAAGTATCCAAGTCTAGTAGACATGAAAGTATCCAAGTGTACTGCCTTGAGCCTCCCAGCTTGTGGTGCATTTTTATGGAAGCGCTGAGTGACTACTCCACAATGTCTTACCAGGTATTTCTCCAATATTCCCAGCAAGAATGAAGGGAGCATGCCAGCAATGGGTGTTGAGACTTGGACACCGGTGCACACGGGTGGGGGAAGAGTCCCTGGCGTATATGGCCCGGGCTGTACCCCGAGAACACTACTTTAGCTTCTTCTGGCCTGATCCTCACGGCTCCCCAGATGCTTCGGCAAGATGAACCCTATTACGTTCTTGGGGCTACGAGGACGACAGTCTGCCCCCGCGCCGCTCCTGTCGGTCGCTGTGACACCGGTCTACAGCATGCCTGACCCCACGTTTGGAGTTGTTAGCCCTGTAACAGTGCTTTCCAGCCCACTCTTACAGCACCAAGCCGAAGGGCAGATGCTGAGCACGCGCTGCGGCTCTGTTAACGCTGAACACGTCCCAGTTAGCGCCTGCCTTGCTACCCAGGGAGCTACTATTTGGTGGCAGAGGGAGTCGGTCACTTACCATTCTTCTTGTGGAGGACGATTTTTGTAGTACCTTTGAGGCCTTGGGGCTTGTAACCTAAAGAAAACACATTTCACCTTGAGGCTGCATGTTCAGAAAGCAAAGCTAACCTCTTGAGCTGTGTGGAAAACGCTTCGGCAGTATTCATAAATTATAAAACGCTCCGTGCACGTGGCCTCCACAACCCTGCCCCTATCAGCTCACCCTACAAATGCACTCCTTCTGTGAGATGCGCATGAAGGTTGATTCCCTGAGGCCGAAGCTGTCACAGCAGAAGAAGCACCAGCTAACTGCTCCGAAAGCCAGCGTCGACCAAGCAAATCACTGCGCGTCTGTGAAGTGCTGCCGGAGCCCAAGAAGCCTCTCGGCGCACCCGTGTGGACTCCCGCCGCGTAGCATGAGGCAGGTGAGGCTTCCCGCAGGAACGGGGCGGATGCATGCAAGGGCTCCTGAGAACCCGCACGGGACACACCCGGGGATCCTGCGTGTACCAGAACCCACAGAGGCTCAATTCTCTTGCACGAATGACATCATACTTGCATATAACATATAAGCATCTTCTGGAATGCTTTACACCATTTCTAGATTACATACGAAACTTATTACAGTGTAAATGCTACGTAAAAGTTATAGTGTGTATTTTAGGGAGTAATAATAAAAATGTTTAGATATGCTCAGTATTGATGTCCTCTGGGTGTGTGTGTGTGTGTGTGTGTGTGTGTGTGTGTCCCCTATCAACACGGTGCACGTGTTGGTGCAGAGGCTGGCTGCCTTCCTCGTTCCTTCTGTGCACACAGAGCACCTCCGGAGGGAGGCACACCTACACAACCTGTGCAGCACAGCCTGTTGTTGATGCGGGAAATCAGAGGCAGCCATTGGTCATTCTACAGTCTTTCCAGGTTTTAAACTTTGTAACTTCTTACTGAATGTCTTTTCCAATAAAAATGAAGAATTACAAAATCAGTGTTTTAAGATACAACTAAAGGAAGAACATTTTTTGTGTTTGCTCCCTGTGGTGTTTACAACCTTTAAGTTCCATTTCAGTTCCACTTACAATTAAACATCAAAACGGCTGACATTCATGCCCACTACTCATTTTTGAGTCCACCCTAGTGATGGCGTGGTGACACAAGCGTCGCGGCTTTTCTGCCATTTATAAGACAAACTGAGTCTGTCCAGCTCATGAGACTGGCAGCTGACACACACGGTGCACTTGTGTCATTGAAACTTCTCAGAATGGGAGGACACCAAGATGGCAGAGTGGCAAGCAGCCAGAAAGAGCCGCTTGGAGAGCTGCCATCCAGGGGCTGGAATACGGCAAGGCAAGGAAGATAAGAAGGAGGGAAGTGAGTCCCCTGGACCCAGGAAGACTCTGAAGCCTGAATTGAAGCCCACAGACAGTGAAGAAACTTCAGTGAAGAAGGAGGTAGCTGGCGGCGCCTTCTCCCTGAGGTGGGACACATTGTGACTGCTGGCAATTCCAGCAGCCTCCACAGACACAGCAGGGAGGTGAGTAGCACTAGCAGGCAGTGCTAAGGGCTGTCATCCCACACGAGAGAGCTACTGGCTGGGAGCCATCTTGGAGAGGGGCCAGCTGAGCTCAAAACTGAGTGGCTGATGGCTCCATCGAGTGGCTCCCCGCTGGGCTCAGGCCTGAGGAAAGTGTGCTGACTAGCTGCAGGTGAAATGAGTCTGGTCTTGGTCAGAAGATCCAGGCTCACAGAAGTTACCTACTACCACACCAGAAGGCTGCTGTTGGCTTGCTGGGATGAATCGACACAGATCGGGACTCTCCACATGTTGTCTGCAAGTGGGTTTCTTTTTATTTTTTTTTCTTGCTTCATTATTTGATGTTGTTTTTACATGAGTGTGAACATCTCTAGTCTCTTTGTGGTTGTTGCTCTGTTCTGTTCTTTTTATCTCTTCCTTCCCTCATTCCCTCCAGTCTTCTGCACTAGTTTCCCAAAGTTAGCAAGATTTCCCTTCTGTCCTCCAGCCTTATTTCTAATCTTTTCCTCTTCTTCAACTTCTCTATTTTCTCCCTAACCCTTTTTAAGTTTTAACCCCTGAGGGCAAAATTGATATATTAAGGACTTACATATTGCATATAATTTTATGGTTTATTTTAGATTTTGTCATATAACCACAGATCTAGTTCTTCCAGTTAAAGATGGAAAATTAGGGCTGGGGAGATAGCTTAACAGCATACGTGCCTGCCCGGCAAGTGCAAAGTCCTGAGTTTGATCCCAGGCACCGCGTATCATGCTGGCCCAGGAACCAGGCGTGGCGGCACACACCCATAATTCTCCCACTGGGGAGTCTGAGACAGGAGGATCACTATGAGTCTGAGCTGCACAGTGAGACCATGTATCCAAACAAAAAAAGGAAAAAGAAAAAAAAAGTGGAAAATTACTGGTTAACTCAGTTTGTCATTTTTAAGGTTGTGTTTGATATTCTTGTTACTCCCAATATTACCATGTTGGCCAAAAGTGATATAATTGCTCTAACCAGCTGTTTTTTCTAGTATTCCAAGTCTATTAGTCATAGAAAATACTGTGGCACAGTGCCAAAGAACCAAGGGCCAGGCCAAGCAGATAGCAAATTCTTATCCCCAACAAACTGAAGGATCTTGCAATAGACTCAAAACCTAAAAACCAGGTACACCTAGAAGATACCTCAGAGAAGTAGTAATTTCCTAAGGGTTCTAAATACTAGCAATAAAGCAACCCACCATGGGAAACTTATAAGCATCATCCCAAGAATTAAACACAGAATAAAAAAGGTGAGAAGACACTTAAACAGGACACAAGCCCAGATATCCACTAAAGGCCAGGCCAGGGACAATGAGATGGGACCATCTGAGGGCTGCCCACCTGGCCAAGGCCAGGGACAATGAGATGGGACCTTCTGAAGGCTGCCCACCTGGCCTCTCTGGAGGGGTACCATCAAAGGCATTGAATGAGGCTCTAGGGGAAAAATTAAATGAAAAATAATTGCTTGGATAACTGTGGAGATGCTGTTGACAATGAAACCATGCTTAAGAGCTCTGGAACATATACAGATAAAAGAGGAATTTAAGAAAATTATGGAAACCATGAATGCTTAAAATAGGAAAGAAATGGAATGCATAATGCAGATTAAAACAGGTATCTGGGAGAATAAAATTCCACTGAACATATCTGCGGCAGCATAAGCCAATGTGAGGCCAGGATCTCAGATATAGAAGATAGGCTTGTGGTTAGCAATCATGAAAAAAATGATTTCTTAAAAATATCAAGAGACCATGATAAATCAATATAGCAGCTGCTAGATGAGGCAAAGAGTAACTTAAAATTGATTGGAGTCAATGAAAAAGCTAGAAGTAGTATAAATGATATAAAAAAATCTGTTCATAGGGCCAGGGAGATAGCTCAGTAAAATAAGCACCTGCTTGGCAAACACAAGGTCCTGAGTTTAATCCCTGGTACTGAAAAAAAAAATCTGTTCACAGACACTACGGCAAAAGAAAAACTTTCTTGGTAGGGAAAAATAATTTGACATACACATATACGAGGCATATAGAATGCCTATTAGCCATGATCAAACAAATTTTATAGCCAGGGATATCACAGTCAAGATTCTGGAAATTTATCACAAGAATAGAGTCTTAAGGGCACCCAGATAGCTCAGCAGACTAAAGCATCTGCTTAGGCAGAGCACAGTGGCCAGGGTTTGATCTCCCACGTGCCCTGCCGGCCCCACCCCTGAGGTGTGCTGAGACGGGATTGAGACTGGGCATGGTGGTACACACCTGTAATCCCAGTGCTTGGGAGGCTGAAAACAGGAGAATCACTATGAGTCTGATCTATGTAGTGAGACCCTGTAGACCCTGCAGACGATGTACCAAATACATTTTAAAAAAATCTTAAAAATCATCTATAAAGGAAAGGCCTTCAAAATCACAGCTGACTTCTTAGCACAAACCCTTAAATCAAGGAAAGCTTGGAAAGTATTTCAAGCTCTAAAGGAAAACAATTTTCAACCCAGATTGATGTACCCTGCAAAACTATCTTTCAAAACTGATAGAGAAATAAGATATTTCCATGACAAAGAACATCTGAGGAAATTCATGATCACCAAACCAGCATTTCAAAATGTTTTCAAAGACATTCTAGAAAAAGGTAAGGACTACAACTCTATGAACCCCAACCAAAGAAATCTACCAGGCAAGGCAAACAATTAGAGTGAGGGGAGAGCCAACAACAAGAAAATAACATGACAAGGATAAGTCTAAACATATCAGTTATAACCACCAATGTTATATGGTCTCAATTCACCAATTAGAAGACACAGACTGGGTAAACGGATCAAGAAGTAAGATCCAACAATATGCTACATATAAGAAGGATGGAAAACAGTACTCCATGTGACAGGAACTTGGAAAAAAACAGAGGTAGCTACTCTGTTTGCAGACAAAGTGAATTTCAAGCCAAGACAAATTAAGAGAGACAAAAAGGTCACTGTATCCTTGTAAAAAGAATAGTTCAAGAGAAAGAAGTAACAATCATAAATGTATATGCAACAAATACCAGTGAACCCAAATGTATAAAACAAATATCAACAAACACGAAAAATCAAATAAGCACTAATACAACTGTACTGGAGGATTTCAATATGCTCATGTCATGAAAGACAATGAATTAGACAAAAAATCAACATGACATGTTAGAACGGAACCAAACTTTTGAACTTAGTAGATGTCACATTATCAGACCCCTCTTCTCAGCTGCACACAGGACGTTCTCCAAAATAGACGACATACTGGCTCATGGAACATGCTAAGTAAATGCAAAGGAGCTGAAATTATCCCATGTGTATTATCAGACCACAGCACAATGAAATTGGAAATTAATGGCAAAAGAAACCACAAGAACTTCATAAACACGTGGAAATTAAATAGCACCTTTCTGAAAAATCAATGGGTCACAGATAAAATTAAAGAAGAAATTGGACAGTTTCTACAATTAAAATAAAAATACTACAACATACCAGATCTTATAGGACACAATGAAAGTAGT